CACTGTCCTTGTTGATGACTAGGGAGCCAAAGACATTCCTCAGCTCCAGACCTGCTTCCAGGGCATTTCTACGTGGATGTTCCACAGACCATAAAAGGAACTATGTCCCAAATACTCAGCTTTTTCCCCATCTCCTGTTCCTCCTCTGAATTCCCTACTCGGTGAATGGCATGTCCATCTGCCAGAGTGCAAAAGCCTGTGACGTTGAGGTCTGTTCTCAAATCCTGCCTCCCTGAATGTCCCCCATCCACTCAGGGATCATGGCCTGTCTTCAACTTCCCTTTTTCAGTTTCCATTACTGCTGCCTTATTAGCTCAGGCCCTAACTATTTCTCACTTGGATGTCTGGAGTAGCCTCTCAACCAAACACTGTCTTGTCTTGCCCATGTCAAAGTATTCTCCAGGCTGCTGCCAGAAGAGTTTTAAAATTGCCAATCCAGTCATGCTGGAATCCTCTACTGGTCTAGATGTTTGTGCACACTGCCTCCTCTGTGGGAAGCACTGTGTTGTCACTTCTGACCCTGGGCCATCCTCCATGATGCTTCTCCGGGCAGGCGTTCCTAATTTACATGCACCTGCCACCCTTTATGTCGCTTTGCCGCTGCATCTCCAGTGTCTAGTAGAGCCTGCACTTCATGGGCTCAGTAATTATTAAGTGTTGAAAGACACAAAAGTCATTTGAACCCAAATCCTCTGATTTCCTTTCTCCTCCTTGAGCCAGCAACTGGAGCATCAGTTGCTCTCCCTTATTCCACTCACCTGAGGTTTATCAGCTCTTTCTGGCTTTAGCCTCCAGTCCATCCCCCATTAATTTCTAATCTAAAATCTTCAATGACTAAAGCAGTGTTTCTCAAACTGCAGTATTAAAATCACCCAGAGGACTTAAACACAGATTAAACAAATATTGCTGGTCTCCATCACCAGATTTTTCAATTTAGTACCTCTGCACCCAGAATTTGCATTTCTAACAAATTCCCAGGAGATACTAATGCTGCTGCTCCAGGGACCACTTGCTGAAAACCGCTAGAGCAATGGTTCTCAACTAGAAGTGGGTATTAAATATAATATATCTTGGTCCATTCTTGTCTACTGAATTAGAATTTTCAGTGAGGTGAGATAGACAGTCATTTTTCAGCCTAAAAGCTCTGTAGGTGATCCTGATGCACTACCCTGGTTAAGAACCATGAACTCTAGGATCAGGACTTCACTTTCTTCCCGTCTTATTTTTCACAACCCTTCCAATTTTTCACCCTGATCACTAGTTACATGGAACAGCAAGCAGTCTGATGATTCCAGACCTTTGCCCCTTCTCTCAGAGCCCCAGATCAGTTGTAGTTATTCATTTATGTATCCATTCATTTACTGAGCACCTAGCACATTCCAGGATGCAGGGCAGAGTGCAGTGAACACAACAGATACAGCCCTGCCTTGTGAAGTCTCTGTTGTTTGCTCTGAGCTCCCCTTTTTTCTCTGTATACAGGGAAATACTGGCTTAATGCTGCACTCTCTTACTAGACTATAAATTTCATGAAGGCAAGAACTGTCTTTGTAAGTGCTCAATAAATGTTTGTTCAGATGAAATTGGAAAGCTCTTCCCCTGACCTAGCCTTTTTTTGAAAATTATCTCCAGAGTCCTCTCTCTCTCTCTCTGTTGTCTTTCCTAACCTGCTCCAACTCCCCCACCATAGTCAGAATTGGACTCTGCCTTCCATGAGCCCTGCTCCCTACTCCAAACAGTTTTCTAACTCAGCACTTGTGATCCTTTATTCCATGTTGTTTACAGATCTGGCTCCTCCTACCAAACTGTGAGCCTCTTAAGGGCAGGGACCACTTCTTTTTTTTCTTTTAATCTCTGTACTTCATATAGGAAGTATTTAATAGTATTTGCCAAATTAATGAATGAAGTTGATTTTTTTTTTCACTTAAGCCTACTTGGCAATGTTTTTGCCAAACTTCCTTGTGGCTTTAATGAAACTGTCTTAAGCTCCTCCATTTCTCCATAGTAGGAAAATACCATAATTTAAATTGCATATAGTACAAAACACACACATGTGACTTGAGGGATAAATGTTTATCAAGGGTCTGAATGAAATTCTCAGAGAGAGGCAAAGTGTGACTTTACAGATTGTCCACTGCATCATGACTCAGGGTTCTGAGTTGAGGCTGGACAAGCCTGCAACCCAGCCTTGTTGCCCCCCAGTTCTAGAATTTATAGGCTAAACAAAACACATGGTTTGTAATCTACACTAAGTCTTGACAGGAAGTAGGATGCTACTTAATGAATGAAACAAGGTTTTGAAATTCATTGAAAAAGATGAAATCAGATAAACCTCTTGATAGAAAGAGGTGTCAGAAAAAGAGATGGTTATACTTCATAAAATATACAAAATATAAGTGTTCTTGACAAACTGCTCAAAACATCGTACCATGCACATAGTAGGCCTTCAGTGAATATTTATTTGATGAAAGGAACAAAACAATCTATACGCTTTCAATTAAGTCAGCAGGAATCAAAAGCACTGACCTGCTTCCCGTTGAGAATCACCAGTGATTCACAGATTGCATGCCCCCCAGGAAGCCATGGTTTCCCATGTAGCAATGCAGGAGCCAGTGTCAAATGTCTCCCACAGGTAAAAACACTCTGTTTCTAGAGCTCACAGACTCACATACTTTCAGGGAAATCTTCCCACCACACATACTCATCATGACTGCTAAATGCACATTTTATAGTTAAATCACCTTGATACACACCTTTCTGTCAAGTCAGAAAGGTTATAAATTCATTTCTAAACAATATTTTGGTTATGCAAAATTCTTAGAAATATAAGATCACCATTTTATCTAGCAGCTGAGTCTTCCCTGGAGTAGTCTTTTACCTTTTTCAACTACATACTCTTCTTAGCATGCATGTAGGCATGGGGAGGAAATAAAAATACACAAATGGTATCACCAACTTAATGTTCTCTTTAGTAGATTGGCTATCTATCTGCATGGAGTGAAGACCCTAGAAAGTCCACACTATTCCCACAAATTGCTTAGCAGAAACATTGCTCATTCTATGTAACAAAAGGAACCGTTAGTGAAGTTTATGTATCATTGGAGCAGATAATTTTACAAGGCTGTGTTCTTAGGCTTCAGAATTAAGGATTTGACTGTGGGAGCAAAGAGTCTTAGGGGCAGGACACTGCAGATAACCTCACCCACATGCATTTCTCAAACAATGGTTTTCTGTATGTAAACAGAAAATAGAAAAGAGTATATGGTTTTTGTCCTTAGTATTAAATAGCTTCCTTTTCTTTAGCACACTCTTAAATTTCTGCACAATGCGCAGCCTTCAGCACCCTAAGGAGCATAAACAAAGGATATCAGGCAAGTTCACCTACTCCCACTTCACAGAACAATGCTTGTTGTTAACCGAGCAATTCCCAGGGCAGATTTATGATTTGTGGAGCCCAGAGTAAGTACTCAAGTTGGGCCCTTGGAATCTGAGGTCAAAAGCACGTGGTGCCCGCTCAATCCCCAGGGTTTTTAGAAAACATGAAAATGTGACCTCAAGTTTGTGGTTGTGTGTACACCAGAGACTATTTAGGCATTTAGAGAAATTAAAGCACATTAAGGCCTCAAAGGAGCTTATTGTTCAAGTTCCAAGATTTAACCTTTTCTTTCTTGTTTGCTGCTATGCTCTTCCTCTTGTGAAAAATGTCTTCTGAATCATGTAAGATGAACCATATAGATGCATAACATGTCTGTGTATAAGAATGTTCTTAACAGAGCAATAAATTATACAGATAGGGAAATTTAAAAATTTGAAACGTCCTTTCCCATTTCCTAAAAAGAATTATGACTCTGATTCTTTTCTTGTATTCTTAGACCCTAAGTTATACCACAAGACAGAATTTTGTAAACTATGTTCTTAATTCATCCTCAAATTTGAATGAGGATTTTAAGGCACATCAGAACTGTAAGCACTTAAGAGATAAATGAAAATAAGTGCATGAAAAGCCTTCTTTCCTCCTGTCTTTTCAGGGAATATAGAGTTACATCCCATAGGTTTATACTGTGCTATTAACATGTTACGGAACTTGGGGGAACAGATTTCCTCCTTGTTGTATGGTTCAAGTATAAAAGTGAAATAGGTTACTGTTTCCTAATAATTATGAGTATAATTATTGTCAAGTCATAAAAACTATGAAATCATTAAATTTCATTACACTCTTTTACTCTTTAGTAATCACCTAGTAAATATTAAAATTGAGCCAGGAAAGAATAAATATATATATATATATATATATATATATATATTTTATAAATCCCATATATATTAAATACATATATATATATTCACATATACAAAGTCTGCATAACTTTAAAGTCATCTGCAAATATCTGAATGTATAACTTAGCTATTCAATAGCATGGGTAGTATATAAATACAGCTATATGTCCCAAGCTGAATGAAATTGTTGGTGGGTCACTGCAGTTGCTGGGTCTTTTCATGTACCATAGACAATACGTGTTGGTCATTTCTTCCAACTGACTTCATGTGAAGCTAACTGGTTAGTCCATGACCTCTAAACAATTTTAAACGTCTATATTTTTTAGAAAAATTACATTCTACCAACTTTCCAATGAGGTTCTGGTGTTTAGAAGTTGCTTAGAGAGACTTTAAAATAAATGGTGAAGTTTAGAGAGGAGAAAATACACTGGAAAAAATGACAAAGAAGAAAGATCAACACTATAAGCACAGTGCAGTGACAGAAACACATATAAAATCACAAGGCTTCTTTGAAAAGTCTAGGAAATTCTGGGTTAGATGACAGGTTGATAAACTCTACAGTCTTCAATTCTGGCACGAATGGAAAAGAACATAAATGCCTTGTCTATTGAGTGTCTCTTGTCTATTACCTAGGGAGGAAACACCTGCCTAACACCTACCGGTGGAAAACCATTGAAAAAGTAGAGATTAGTGAGAATAAAACAACAAAAAGAAGAGCTCCCTACCCATTGCCTCCTACTGAATGAACTTTTGACATATCAGCAAACTCTTCTTTCCTCTTGCTGCTGCTGGTGTACTGCTCGCTGTACAGCTTGAGGGACATCTGCTCCACAGCATCTCTTTGTGCTTCCAGGTAGCATAGTTGAACCTCAGCCTGGAGAGAGAAACAAAGAGGAATTGCTGTTTTAATCCAGAAGGAATGCATTTCAAGTGAGGTGTAACAACTCAAAGAACGGGAATTGTTCACATCATTATACTGCTCCTTTTCAGGTTGGATTTAATGGGATCATCTGGGCATATTACAGAATTCAACTTTAGATCTGAATCTTATAAGTTGTTGCTTAAAATATGACCTGAATAAATGAACTCTCAGAAGACTCAGTAAATATCACAAAATATCCCTGAGATCGTAATACTGTCTGATGAGACTCTGCATAAAAATTCTGTGATACTCCTTAATAATATTCATCCTCATATTGCCACATATGTAACATTTATTTTTTTAAGGTTTCCCCTCCAACCCATACATTTGCAAGGACACATACCCTAAACGTTTCTCGTTATCTTCCCTGAGGAGAATAAAAAAGCCTAGTACTAATTCTAATACCTCTTCAATAGTGACAACAGACTTCCTGTATTACTTTTTTTTGTTCTCTGTATTATTGTCTTAATAATTTTAAAACAGAGAGAACAGCGATTGTGCTTACATGCAGGTTTGAATTGTTAAATCGTTCACAGTTACTTGGGGCTCGCTGTAGTAAAGGGAGAGGTAGTAAGTTCACCATGCTGTTTTCTATCAAACCAAGGCCAAAAGAATGCTGAATAATATTTGGCATGGAAATGTATTGAATAGATTCTTTATTTATTGCAGCTGTTGTGATCCCTGTGGCTTTAGAGTTCCCTAGAACACCAGATGAGACAGGGAATGAAGTCTTCTCAGTGGCATGCTTGCCCATGTTGAAGGGGAGAGGGCACAGCCGAGTTCATGTGCACTGGGGACCAAAGGAGTTCTTATTTTCTTTTGGTGCGCTTCACTAAATCCAAACATGTCCATTAACATTTCTGAACAGCCTTAAAACTGCTCCCTCTTTATACTTCAATTATCTATCCTCCTAAGAAAAACAGTTCTGGGTCAGCTATTGGATGTTGCCAGAATTCTATAACATGTAGGAAAAGCAGAGTCAGACATGACCTTCTACTCTTCGTGTCCAGAGCCAACCGAGGCCTTTTGCCTGGTCTCTGGTTTTACAGACTCAACCATGGAAAGAAAGAGAAAGTGTTATAAAGGAACAGTTGCTTAAAAGGCCAAAGCAGGACTCGGTAAAGGAAATGTAAGATCTCGAACCATTCTCAAGTTCGTATTTTGTTACTTTCCACAAGCACCTAATTACGAATGCTCTAGAAGCTGAGGAAGAACTTTAAAAATGCTAAAATTACTATATTCATATAACTGAAATTTCAGAAATCAGTTAAGAACTGCAATCTATGTATTGGTTCTCGTAAATTTTTCTGGCTCAAACTAATTGGCTTGAAAAAGAACAGATTCAACTGGATTACGAATTCCGTCCAACACTATAAACAAAGGATAATGTTACATGGAGTACATTCAGTATGGGAAGAAGGGGTGTGGCTGGTGGAAAGGCACAAAGGAAATACTAGATGTAGTGTTACTTAGCATCTTTATTAATGGATAGTGAAAGAGAAGATGTGGAACATGTTAATGGCAGTATGGAAGAGTCCCAAATCAGGGGCTTGCTGATACCATAAAATTTGGAGAAATGTTACCTACAGACCTAAGAATATTTTTAATGGACCATAAAATTGAATATAGGGAGTCAATTGTTATAAAAAAAACAACAGAATATATCTTTCAAATAGCATACTGGGGGAAGGCATAGCTCAGTGGTAGAATGTGTGCTTAGCATGCACAAGGTCCTGGGTTCAATCCCCAGTGCCTCCATTAAACAAACAAACAAATAAATGAATAAATAAGCCTATAAATTACCCTCCCCAAAAAAAGATTTTTTAAAAAATATTAAAACAAAGAGCATACGATATTCTTAAGTAATTAAATATGAGATCACTGAGAGATAGTGAACAATAGTCAAAAAACTTGAAAACATTCATCTTTCCAAATGCTACCTCCCTTAACCCTCTCCCTCCTGGAAGCTATAAGGGATAATGAGGAGATCATCCTATACAAAGTATTCTACTGGAAACCCTATTAAAATAATGAGTCTACACCATTAGGTGCCAAGAGGTTCCCTAGAGGTTCCCATTAGTTTTTAACCATCCTAAGGTAGCAAGCTAGACCACTGCTTGTTCTGGGTAAAGATCTCCCAGATGTGTGCCAGTGGTCACGGAAAGCACATAAAGAGGGAGGTCGACTTATTAGAAACTCATCATTACTATGGAAAAATAACTGAGGTTCATTCCTTTCAGATCCATTTCTGTGTACAAAGGGAAACACCTCTCATATGACAGGGATACATGGAACAATGCAGAGAGCAACTCAAAAAATAGTCACCTTACACAAATGATTGAAATGTTGTAATCTAAGACTTTCAGTGCACAATATCTTATAGGCATTTGACATAGGAAAAGTCTTTGTACTAACAAGGAGATGAATTAGATGGTCCAAGTCTTTCCTATCCATCTCTATTTCTATCTCTGCTTTCAGTGATTCATTCCTAAACGTCATGATAAAAATAGAACCAAAGTAGCTTCTTCTGCTAAGGTTGAATGGCTTTGCCAGTCTAAATCTCTCCACAAGCTGTCTTAGCTTTTTCTCACACTGTATCTTAGTCCTAAGATAAATTTTTAGGAGACAGATTTGAAGAAACTACAGTTCTTAGAAAAAATAGTAACACTGAATTTCTGATTAAAATAATTTTATTTATTAGCATCTATGACAACTGTGGACACTTTTAAAAGTGACTATATTTTACAAATGGAAACTTAGATTAAATAATATTACTGATGTATAATCAATGGGGTTTGGCAACTTATTCATTAAGGAAAACAAAAAGGAGCAAGAATGAACAGGCTCAATGACAGATCCACCTCTAACTTCCTGGTCAGTGCCATCAATGGGAGAAGGAATATAAAAAGAGCAGTACAAGTGAAGGAAAGTGAGCTAGATTTGAGTCTTTTGGTTTGAGGTACGAGGTGATTCCAAAAATGAGATGTTCAGTAAGCAAGTAGAAATATTAAAACTGAAATAAAAACCCAGAGGCAATGGCTGATGTTAGGAGATGAAATGAGAATGCCATGGGCGATGTGAGAAGAGGAAAGGATCCATTCTCACTTATTCTCATCTAGGTCTGCATTACACCTTAGCTGGCCAGTTGTGATGGGCACTCAATCGCTCTCCCTCCCTCTTTCTCCATAATTCCCAAATCCATTTTATAGATAATTCATTGATCTTTTTGAATCACATCTGGGATCACTGGTTGTTGTTGTTCCTGGGCTTAATTCTGGACCTCTTTATTTATACTCTCTTCCATGGCTTTCAATGCCATCTATATAGTAATGGCTTCTAATCCTCTCCTCTGAGTACCATACTTATATATCCAATCAACCGCCTGACACTGTTAATTGAATTTACTTTAGGCATAATTATTCAAAACACTCTCCATTTTCATCTTCAACACCTGTACCAAAATCTTCTGTTCTTAGGTCTTTCCCTTTAAATAAATGGCACCATTTGTTGCTTAGGTCAGAAATCTGAAAGTCATCCTTGACTCCTTTTCTTTTCCACAGCCAGTTACTCCCTAAATTCTGTTGATTCCTCTTTCAAAATGTGTCTCCAGTCTGTCTGTCTCCCCAGTCTGCACTGCTGCCAGACTGGTCTAAGCCTTCGTCATCTCTCCTCTGTAGCACAGCAATCATCTTCTAACACATATCTCCCCTCGCCCATCCCTGCCCCTCCAATCTCTTCCCTTACAGCACCAGAGTGGTCCTTGTAAGATATGAGTTGGTTTCACATTGCATTCAGACCTACAAAACAACCTTCCTCCATAGCCCATTAGATTTAGTTCCTGCCTACCTCAGACTTCATTTCCTACTTGTCTCCCTCTTGATCACCATGCCCCTGTCATGCTTGCCTTCTTCCAGTTCTTTAAAAAGCTCTTTCCTGTCTCAGGACCTTTGCACATACTGTTCCCTTTCTCTGAAACATTCTCTTTCTAATGTCTTCTCATCCTTTAGCTCTCAGCTGACATGTTACTTCTCAGAGAGGCTTTCCCTGACCACTCTATCAAATGCAGATCCACTCAATTTTCCTCCATTTCAGAACAGTGTTAATTTCCTTCAGAGCACATATCACAATTTAAAAGTCTTATATTTGCTGCCTTACACCTTTTCTGACTCTGTCTCCAGGCTCTAAGCTACATAAAGGGACTGTGTCTCTCTGTCTCCTCTACCATTTTGTATTTCCAACACCTTGGCAGAATCTGGAACATGACAGGGACTCTGTAAATAACTGTTGAATGAATGAACTGTACATTCATATGTACCTTCATTTATTACTTATATACTCACTGAATCTTTATCATGTGTCAGGAACTGCACCAGGGACTGTGGGTACAAAGAAGAATAAAACATAGTCCCTTCTCTCAGGGGATTGCAGTGCAGTGGAGGAAAGAGCCACGTCAACAGATAACGACAAGTGTGAAACAACTGCGAAGGAGGATGGGAAATAAAACAACTAACTGCCTGAGGGTGAGGAATGGGCATTAAAAGCTTGATAGGGGTGGCATCTGAGCCAGATCTGGGAGTATGGGTATTACTTTGCAAGGTAAAGAAGCAGATGAATATTATATAGGTAGAGTAATTAATTTGTTCAGAGGCCCAGAGTCATGAAAAGCTGTAGCATGTTCAGAAAATAGTGGCTGGAGCTTTGGGGCCATTTGGACGAAGAGGCTAAGGTAGAAGAGGACAGACTATGGACGATGTCAGGTTAGGGAACTTGAAGGCTATCCAATGACGTGCCAACAGAAGATGTCATTGTTTCTGTGATGGCCTCAGTCTTCCTCCATCTCCCTTTTTCTGTCATGGAAACATAGTTATCTGATGGATTAGTCCAAACATGCTTACAAAATCCCTATCTTCTGGTGTACTTTGAGAACATTGCACTGAGAAGGGAATCAACAG